ATAGTGAAGCTAGACTTTTATTATGCTGCTTTCGGCAAATGCACCCAAGTCCCAGTAATTAATGCTTATCGTCTTGTTCTCCTCTTTTTTCTCTCTCCCTATTAGGGAACGATATCGCCGTAGTTGAAGTAAGTTCTCCATTCATCTGGACCGACTACGTCCTACCAGCATGTCTGCCTGGACCTAATGACGTCATGGCCAAAGTATGTACGGTTGCCGGCTGGGGCAGAAAAGAGGGTGAGCTGTGTAATATAGTATTACCTAGTGTGATCGTTCCTTTACCTTGCTTTCCTGCAGTGAATATCCTTTTTTTTCTGGTCCCATGATCGGGTCGTTATCTCTTTTGTCTTGCTTTTCCATGAAATCAAACACTGTGCAGAAAAGTTATTTTAATCTCTTTGAAAAAGTGCTACCTTTGCTATTTAGTACACCAGCTCATCTTATTTGACAGTTCAAGTTATCGCTATCGAAACGTAAAATCATGTCGTGTTCAGAAGCGGGCTTTTAGCTGAATTTGGTATCATGCAAGGCTATGGTGTGGGTGACCCTGATTTCAGTTCCCAGTGTGATGTTCTTGAACATGGGTTTTTCAGGAGTATCCAGAGCTCTTTACCAACTTCACACAACTCTTCAATGTTTTTAAAGTAAGGTAGATGCCATTGTTCAGAGCAATTTTTTAAAAAGTAAGGCAGATGCCATTGTCTAGAAGACAGGTTTTGGGGTTTTTTCACCAATTTTTGTTTTTCACCCCCTCGATTTTCTCTCTTCACAGATGGCACCTACCCGCCTACTATGAGGAAAGTGTCTCTGTACACCTACAGTCGCGACAAATGTTTGACCACCTTCAAAGATACCGCTCGGGGTCCTCTCATCAGCTATCTGCATCGTGGCACTGTGTGCGCAGCCAATGGTTTGAATGGAGGCAGGGATTCTTGTCGTGTATGTTTGATTTTGTTTTTGAGTATGTTTATTGCAATGACTGATTTTATTTATTGTTAATGTTTTATGCCAGCATAGACACAATATATAGCGGGCTGCTTTGACCCTGCCTGACTGCGCCAAACCGGGCTAAGAGGGATACAGCATCTTAACGGGCAAAGGGGTATACTCTACAAAAATGACTACCCCTCTCAGTAATCGAATCCAAGTTATTTTTATCAAAAGAATTCAGGGCAAAACAACGGTAAAAGTGCATGGAGACAAAATGAAGAACCACAACGCCAAAGAATTAATAGAAATTCGCTTTGATTGGTACAGGGTTTTGTTTTATTCCATTTTTAAGGTATATGCATATGCACGCGTACGCACGTGCATGTGTGTGGATGTGTGTGTGCGTGCGCGCGTTTGTGTGTATGTGTGTGTATTTGTGTGTATGCATGTGTGTGTATGCATGTGTGTGTGTGTGTGTGTGTGTGTTTGTGTGTATGTGTGTGTGTGT